AGAAGAGGAGGCATTCTTCTACGGCTACTCCTCAGGAGGGAGGAAGAAGAAATTTCATTTAAGAAAGTTACTTTGATTTCAAAAAGTGTGTGTGCGTGTGCACGTGTGTATGTTGTAAAACAACCCACCTGATTTGGCCTCAGGTTGTGTTCCCCAGAAAGCAGGCTACGGGATGGAGTTAAAGGGCAGGAGGTTTGGAGGGGAGCCTTGGGAATGCACCCCGAGATGGGAGGAGGGAAGAGGGCGAGAGAGGAGGGTGGGCTGGGCGCAGGCTAGACCACGGCTGTGCAGCCCATGGGAGTACGGGAGCCAGGACCACTACCTGAGCTGGGCCCAAATGCCGGCCCGCATGCCCTGGGTTCTGCTGGCACTGCATGCGACCCCTGGGGAGGGTCTGGCTGTGAGGCACTGCTCTGTCCAGGGGGGCAGAGAGCCTCCTACAGACTCCCAGTGGCAGGGCGACAAGTCTGTCTGGAGAGGGACCCTGGTCAGCAATCCCACCATCTGTCACAGGTTCCCAAGCCTCCATACACCAAGGCAGCCCCTGATCCTTTAGCCTCAGATGTGGACTAAGAAGCAGGGAGCTGAATTAACATAGCACTTCTCTCCTCTTCTACAACCCCTCTTCCCTCCTCAAGAGGCTCTGCAGCCAAATCCCTGTCCCCTGGATCAGAGGAACGTGGTGACAAAATGAGAGCAGAGTGCCAATCTGCCAGTCACACTTGGCCGAGAATTTTCATCATATCCCTTCTCCCCCGTCCCTCTGCTCAAGAGCTTTCTCACCTCCTCCCTGAATACCCCTGGTGACTCTGCCCTGAATCCCTGGGGAAATGGAAACAGGTGCGGCGGGCTTCAGGTAAGCTCCCGGCATCGCCCTGCCCCTTGGGTGCTCTGCTTTCCAGCCTGGAGTTTGATCCCGCTTGTCCTGGCCACATGGGCGCGAGGGCCTCTTGCCTTTGGAAAAGGTGCAACTTCCCACTCCTCAGACTGGATCCTTCAGCACCCACAGAGCACTGTTTTATTTTTCAAAAATATCTGGCTTGTATTTCTTTTTATAATTGTCACTCCAGCTGTACATAAACAGTTCTGTCCTAGTTTTTTATTTCTTTCCTGAGTTATAAATTCAGGTGACTGGCAGTGCCAGAGGAGTCAGAATGGCTGCCTCTAATGCTGAGGATCTGAGTGGTCTATGCCCCTGGGCTGCAGGAAAATTCGGTGCCATATGGCATCTTCCTTTAAAAAAAGACAGTATGATTCATGGTAGGTTTTGCCAAGGCAAGCAATAAATAAATAACAACAAGAAAACTGCATTTTCCTTCAGTTGCTCATTATCAATTCGATGTGGACCGGGTATATGGTGCACTGAGCTTCAGCTAAAACAGAAGAAGTAGCCTATAAAGACTTCAAAAGAAAGTTTCTGGAATATTAGGAGGCAGAAAACACTAAACGGACTATTGAGATTGGGTAAATATATTCAATTCTCAACCTGCTCAAGAAGAGATACCATTTTGCAAAAGGGATCATTTAATCATTTACTTCTCTCAAAATCAAACAGAACCAATGTTCTTTCAAAATACTTTTAAGCTGTAACAGTTAGATTTTGTGGAGCATTGGTGCTGTGGAAGAGCAATCCACGAGGAACCAGGTGGTCTGCACTGTTTTCTTCATTGCAGAGCAGCTATTGAGTGACTACCAGGTGCTGCTCTGGGTACTTGGTACGAGGCATAAATCAAAGCCCCATGGAACTTGCCTTCTAGCATTGTGAGGTCTCTCCCCAGTTTCTCAAACTAATCAGGGCAATTAGTCTTATTTAACTATTATGGGACTTCAGAAATCAAAAGACAAAACAAGAGAAAAGGAAGTACAGTAACACAAAAATGAGACTCACGGTCCCACCTCTTTACAAAATGTGCACTCTGTAATTGCAGCACATTTGTAAAGACGTGATGTCAGATTTGGGGAGAATGAGACATATTCCTTGCTGTTACATTCACATGGGCATGTAGATAAGGGTGATTGTCATTCCTAATATACACCTGGAGACAGGAGATCCTCAAGTCAGGCACGATCAGTTACTACTCTTCATTTTTACTCTGCACATAAGACCATGAGGTCACTTAGGTTAGCAGTTTTCCTGGCAAGGACCCATGGCTTCTTGGCAGTTAACCTGGACACGCACACCCAGGTCCCTTCGTTTCACTTCTGGCAATGGGTGCTGGTTCTTGGATTTCTCTTGCTCATTCTCCTATGGACTGGCACATTCGTAGTGAACAGCAAAGTGCTGGGGCCAAACTAAGAATTTCAGAGAGGAGACAACGTGAAGCTTGCAGCATGCATTTCAGAAGCTCTGTGTTACGAAGTTTCTCGTACTCTGTTAAGGAAAAGTGGCCAGTGAGATGGACGGCTGCACATGTCCCTTACCCGCCTGGGATGGAGGCCTGAAGGTGCAGTCCTGATTCTGGGAATCCAGCATGCACTGACTCATGTATAAACACTTCAACTTGTCACATCCCAGTGACAGGGGCAGTGCTGAGGCACATTCTCTCCTATAAAATCCCACCCATTCCTGACACCCAGGAAGCACTCAAGGGCCCAGAAGCCAGGCCAGTGGTCACAAGGCTGAATGACACTGCTTTGATTGACAGATCTTTCAGTGGCCAAAGGTGTCTAGATGGACATATGCAAATTAATATGTAACAGCTGCCACATTCAGTCTATCCCAGGAAAGAAGTCCATACCAATGATATCTTTTTCTGACCACCAAATATTAATACCCAGTGTCTCTACATTTCTGAATGACAGGGAATGCAAATTTTCATTTTAGCTGCTATAGCCAAATAGAGTTTCTTGAGCTTTTTTTTGTGTGTGTGTATTTTGTTTTTTATTTGGGGGAGGGGCATTAGATTATGCAAAGTGGAAATACTGGCAGTTCAGCTTTTTTGGCTGCATGACATTTCTAAATGGGCATATCTTTGAACACTGAACAACAAAATTCAAATAAACAGGCAAAAATTACCTGCAATAGCAATTCTTTTTTCTTCTTCACGTACATAAACACAAAGTCAATCAGGCGAGTAACAGCTGAGATGGAACCTATGGCGGGAGATACAGGAGAAGCTGGTGTGAGCCCCTCCTCCAGGCCCCCTGACGCGCTCTCACAGCTCGCTGCATTTGTGATCAGTGTCCCAAAATGTCTGGAGAAAAAACCTGCCCTGAAATACAGCTGTCTCTTTCCCTCTTGACTTGCACAGAGTTTACCACATATTCAGCCTATATGATAACTTCATAGCTACATGAAATTTGCATGAAAGGATAAAAAACATTCCATTTTTATACCCACCTTTCAGCTAGAAAGATTCATAAATGCTGCCTGAAGATTTAAACTTTGGCTGATTACAATTTATGAAATTTGCAAACTACTTGAATTGATTCCATCAAAAAAGAAATTAAATCTTGATGCCTAGCAAACTTCGTCAGATAAATAAAATGTGATGTTTAAATAGAATTAAAACAGCAATATAAATTTTAAAAAATACTTTAAGAGTAAATCATATCACTTGTGTAAGTTGTTAAGTAAATGCCTCGTAATCATAAAAATGCTTTTGATCATTTATATCTTAGCTTCTGCTAGATATGTAGAAAAACAGATGAAGACAGAAATATGATTTCTGTTGAAAAGAGAGAATATGACATATTCTGTGACTTCTTCCCTTTAGCTGGCATGGTTCTAGTGGGTACTTTTCTGAGTCAGAAGTTGCACAAACTCAAATTTAAAGGACACAGGTACGAAGCACCCACTGACTGCTGATGGCATGTCACTAATCCAGTAAAGCTATGGAGTGTGAGTGTTGTGAAAATAAATAAGGAAAGGAAATTAAATCTGGGTCAACTGGCAAATTTTGGAACTTACTTTATCACTGTTCAAGCACCAGAACTTCAAGTTTTACATAAGAGCTGCCTCTTGGCTCTGATATTACAACAGTCCTAATATTCACAGATCTGTTTTGTACTTCAACTCTTTTCAAGCCCTGCCCAGCTTACTTTAAAAAAAACCTTTCTGAATTATGACTATGAGGCTGACGTTTCTCACCTGGACTAATGTGGCTGAATTCTCTCTTTCCCTCTCTGTCTGTCTGTCTCACACACAGACACACACATGGACACACACACACTCACAAAACTGTGAGTTCTTTGAAAAGTAGTGTCACTGCACAATTCATCTTTCAATATCCCCTGTCCAACAAGGGGCCCACCCTGTGTTCAGGTGCTCAGTGACAAGAGGTGGAATGGATGAATGAATGAATGAATGAACCGACAAATGGCTCAGTGGTGATGGCTGAGCCATCCCACGCCCACTACCAACAGCGGCAGCCACTTCTGATAACCCGCTCGTCTACAGCCTGCTTCTGAGTCTCAAGGAGGGAATGAGCAGGGGAGTGCTGTCTGCTCAGGGTCCTGGGCTGCTTTAGGTGCAGTGCAGGCACCACCTATGTGATGATTTCAGGGAGTATCACAGAGGCCCCTGGTTTAAGAAGTAATAGGCCGTTTCCCCACCATTTCACTTATGGCTGAAATGCCTTTGACCTGCTATATTTCATTCCATTGTCAGGGGCAGGGGTCAGGAGGGTGGCCCCGTGACTTAGAGCTGATACCTGCTAAGGTATAAATAGCTGATGTACCCATTTTCTAAGAGTAGATTTTCATTTATAAGAATGACAAATAATAGGGGTCTCTGGACATCTAAAGTTAATATGTACAAGGAAAAAAGATACAGGAAGGGTCTGAGACCATCTCAGAATTTGCTAAAGAGTGGCATAATCTTGTATTGTTATTGCTAATGAATTCAGGAAGAAATTATAAACTTAAATTTATAATCATAAATGCTTTATGACACATTTGAATCATTTCCCAGACCTAAAATAGAACCAATTTTCTTTGAGCCTGGTCACCCAGTGGTCTCGGGGTTTTTAGCACAAAGGATGCCTTCAGACATCCCCTACCTACAAACAATTGGCTGTTCAGCTGCAACTGGAAATGGCCTTCATCTGAAGTCTCCCTGGAGACCCTCGGGAGGCTGTCCACCTGCAGTGAGGTCTCCTTGAGGTTCCTCTCGGCCCGGACGTAGTGCCACTGGTTGTCATTCAGAAGAGCAGGAGACTGGGCTATGAGCTCTATAGGGCCAGTCCCCACATCGATGGCAAACATGATCTCAGAAGGAGCTGAAACCAGGAAGGGAGATGGTAGAGATAAAGGCGTTGTCAGTGCATTTAGGGCACAAGCGTGTCCTGACGACGGGTGCACACCACTGTGAGTCAGCCACTGTGCTCAGAGGCCTGCGGCTGAAATCACCATCAGTAGTAATAACTCCCAAATGCCAAGCCCCAAGCTCTTTCCTTGGCCCAGCTGGTACCATTGTAGAATACAGGAAATAGGATGGGAACCAGGGTCACTGATGACCATCTGGTCAACATGCATCAGGGCCAAGGTTCTGGGTTTTGGGGGTTATTCTAGCTTCAAATGTGCCCTCCTCAAAGTACGTAGATACTGGGTTAGCTAGGCAGCTCAGCTCCTGCAGGGAGAAGACTCATGCTGTGCAAGCCCAGTGTTCTCTTCTGTGATGTTCCACTAACACATGTGACACATGCCTTCATGCTACTTCAGTGACCTTGGTATTCTATTTTACTTAAGGAGACGCAGAAGGTTGAAGTGCTTTGTGAGGAGATGTAAGCACAAGGGCAGTGCCTGGGCCTCACACAGGCCCCACCCCACCCTGATGCTGGGCTACTGCTATGACTCTTTCTGCTGTTAAAGGATCTGCATATCCTACAACCCAGGGTCAGCCAGTCAGGGGTAAGAATACCTATGGTGGAGATGATGGTGGTAGTGGGGATAATGGTAGTGGTGGTGGTGATGGTGAAGGTGGTAGTGGTGTAGGTGGTATTGTTGAAGGTGGTGGTGGTGTTGAAATGAAGGTGGTGATAAAGGTGGTGGTGGTGGTGAAGGTGGTGGTGGTGGTGAAGGTGAAGGTGGTGAAGACAGTGGTGGCGTAGGTTGTAGTGAAGGTGGTGGTGGTGTTGAAATGAAGGTGGTGATGAAGGTGGTGGTGGTGTAGGTGGTGGTGGTGGTGAAGATGGTGGTAGTGTAGGTAGTGGTGAAGGTGGTGGTGGTAGTGAAGACAGTGGTGGTGTAAGTGGTAGTGAAGGTGGTGGTGGTGAAGGTGGTGGTGGTGATGATGGTGGTGAAGGTGGTGTTGATGGTGAAGGTTTTGGTGAAGGTGGTGGTGGTGATAGTGGTGTTGATGGTGAAGGTGGTGGTGGTGATGTGGCCATTAAGACTGAGACAAGTGGCAGCACGTAGGTGCTGTGAAATCTGCTGATCACTGTATTGAGCACCGACATAGATTCTCTCAGTTTACTCCTCAGAATGACGGTGGGAGAAAGGCCTCATGTTTATTCTCATTTTGTGGGTGAGAAAACGAAAATTGAGAGATGTATCCACAATTCGCCCGTGTTCCACATAGTAAGTAGAATACAACTTGAAAAGTAGAATTTTTCACCATTTTTCTCTATTTAGTATATCTTCCTGTATTTACCATTATTAGCTAAGAGTCTTCCAAACCTGAAGGATGTAAGAGGTGAACTTGAAACTGGGTCTGAGGAGATGGCAGCCCCCTTTCAGGATGTGGACCTTCGCACGCTGGGCTGTCCCTTCCCTCTCAGCTCTTGTGGCAGCCCCGCCCCTCAGCCCCAGTCAGGATGCATCTCCCTGACAAAGTTGTCGCCTGCCATTATCAGTGACACCAGAGGCCAAACAGAACCCTGAATACCCCCTCCCAACTCAGCCTAAATAAACCCTAACACAAAGCCATCCTCAGTATAAGGAGGCCCTCAGATGTTCAGATGTGAAATTTCAAGTAACTGAGAGCTTGAATTGTCTTACATTCCAGCAAACCCGAGGCCCGACACACAGGAGAGATGATCAGGCAGAGGCCCTAAATAAAAATGGGGTGTGAGAGCATAGACTCTGGGGTCACTATGACCTAAGGCAAGTTTTCTATCTTGGCACCTCTCAGTTGTCTCATCTGTGAAATGGAAATAAAACAGTGCCTATCTGTCAGGTTGTTTATGACTTAATCCTGAGGAAGTTCTTGGAACTGTGCCTGGCGCACAGGATGTTCTCAATGAGTGGCAGTGGGTGTTACTGTCCCCGTGGTGGCACGGTTCACCAGCCCAGGTACATTGGCCTTGGATCATAAACCCACTCACTAAAGGAAACAGAATTTAAAGAATGAATCGAGCTCAGCAATTAAAAGATTAAATAAGAGTGAAGTTGGCTCTTTGAGCCACTTCCTGTTTCTTATCCGGGTCACTGATGCCGTCTTGCAGCCCTGCACATCTTGAGATCAAATAAACACTTTCGTGAGGATGACTGGAACCTAAATCTACTTCTCTCTTTTGAACACAGGCAAAGGTGGGTGAGAAATGGAGGGGAGGGAAGCTAAAGGTTTTGCCAAAAGCCTCTCTGCAAGGCTGGTCTTGTAGATGTCACGTTCTCTGCAGACAGCACGTCTTTGTGGAGGGCTTTCTGCCCCACTGTGCCCACGGCCCCCTGCCACCCCCACCTCCATGCTAGGTCTCCTGTCTGTGCTCACTCAAACATTATCCCCTTGTTGTGTAATGATCTGTTTGTGGTCTGTCTGCCCAGCTAGTCTGTAAACTCTAGAGGACACCTCATCTACTGGACACCCAGAACCTAGCACCAGGCCTTGCACACAGGAAGCACTCATCAGATCAAAGGTTCATTCATTAAAATGTTACACTGCACATACCAAATGCAATTTTGCAATTTTTTGTGAATTATTTTTAGTTTTATACCAAGATACAGGTTTCTTGGAAAATATTTTAAAATTATTACTATTTAACTTTATTCAAGTCACTATTAAAGACCTACTTTGCTCAGCCCATTCTTCCTAAGACTGGGGTAGAATCAGCGAAATGCAAAGATAAACTAATGTTTATTGAGTGCTTAAAACAAGCTAGCACTCTGCTAAGAATGTTTCATTATTCAAGTCACTTAAGTCTTACTATAATCTTCTGAGACAGGTAATATTTCACAGAGGAAGTGAGTCACAGACAGCTGCTAAGTTGCTACAGCCCAGGTGCTGTGTCTCTGGAGCTCACCATTAAATCCACTTTTTTTGTGACAGAACCTTCATCCCCAAAATGTACGTAATCTCTCTGGGCAGTTAAACCTAGAATATATAATTTCAGGTGATTAGAAAGAACTGACCAAAAAAAAATGTTAAGGAAATGGATATTATGTCCAGCTTGACTAGTGACTTTATGGATGGGACAAATATAAGCTAGCTCCCATTTGCTAGCGGGATGGACACAACCCAACAGCCCTGGATGGGGAAGCTGAACGCTGTGGCAGAATCAGCTCTTTTGTAAATCTACCCTCTGGCCTTTCCTTCCCCCAACTGTCTGGAAAAGATCTTCTCTCATTCTTTACTCCTTCAGGACTCAAGACACAGCTGAGGGCACCTTAGCCTTTCAGTGGGCTTTTGATGAGCCAGGCCCTGTGACAGGCACCAAGAATGCAGAGATGGAGGAGAAAATGGGCTCATGGTGCACTTTTGAGAAGACTGACAAAGAAGGGATGTGTTAGGTAGAGGAAATTGCCATGACCACAGCATAGCATCTTCCACATATTTCTGGAAGATGTGAAGAAGCCTTCTAAGGACAGGCTCCAAATAATGTTCTTCCTTCCTTGAAATTTGACTCCATCTCTCCGTCCCTAACTCCTACCCCATATTCAGCATGTGAGACAGCTCAGAGACCATTTATGGAATAAGAAAGTTGCAAGGCCTTAGTGCAGTCACTTAACCTCTCTGACTTCCCATGTATTTGTCAGTCAAATGATAAGTAAGAACTAAGTGAAATATCATTAAGCTTTTTTGGATACATGGACTCTTCAAGGGTCTGATGGCAGCTGTGATTCCTATCTCTAGATGAAAAGCACACATACTTCTGCTTAAAAATCTCAAGGACTTCCTGAATGTTCTATACCTTGAAACATGGAGGGAAATAATTCTATTTTAAGTTCTAACTTTCTTGGTTCTTAAGGTAGTTTTGCAAAGCAGGTGGGGGTTACTCTAAGGAACAGAGAGGCAGTTCGAGTTCTGCATCCTCAGTTTTACTAGCTGTGTGACTCTGGGTGTATTGCTTTCCCTCCCTGGGCTCATGCTGTCATCTGCATATTGGACTATGAGTTGACAATGAAAACTAGAGTATAATACCTTGATGATTGTAGATAGGATTGTTTGAAAATGAAATGAAATTATGAATGTAAAGCATTTAGTACAGTGTCTAATCAGAGTAAACACTCAATAATTTAGTATAAATGTTATTATTAGTATTATGTCTACTATTCTATGAGGATCTGAGGATTATACTGCACATTAACATTGCATTTGGTAATATTCTTGATATAATTACCACTGAAAATGAGAATTCTGTTCTTAATCTCTATCTCATATACATTCATTATACATATATCCATATATATATATATGGCTAGCAGAATATGCTACCCCAATATATGTCACTTTAGCATAAGGATAATTTTGACTGAAGGCAATTGAGAAGATGCAGAGACAAGGAAAGTCCCCTGCCCTCCCCTCCCCTTATTTGTCTAACAGCAGGACATACACTTCCAGAGATGTCCCTCTCCCGCTCCCTGTGAAGAAGGCAGAAGTTAATCACCTGAAGACAGCTTCGACGGTGTCGGCCTGAAGACGGCACAGAGGAATCGACATACAGAATCTCAGTGACTAGCCTTTATCTCTGACACTGGAAACCCAAAACTGCTTTCCTTTTTCCTATTACTTTTCTCCATAAATGTATTATTCTCTGTTGAAGATGCTATCTAAGCTGGAGTTCCAGGCCATCTCTTTGAGTTAGTCATTTTTATCTGGGTATCTCCCATGTATACACGAGTTCTATGTGTTAATAAACTTCTGTTTCTTTGACTCTTGTTAACCTGTATTTTATTACAGTATATCAGCCAAGAATTTGGATGGAAGATTATTTTCCCCTCCTGCAGGCTTTAAGGAAAGCTGCCCCTCTCCCTGACCAGGCATAAGCATGGACCCTAGCAGAGAAAAACCGTAACCTTTACTTTCATGGCCAGAGGTATTGGTCTATTGCTGGGACAGCTGCCAAAGAGATGATTTTTTTATCAGCTGAAACACAGCTCTGTTTTGAGGGAGAGCTAGTGTTAGACCGAAGTAGATATTTAGGAGTCAGAGCAAGGAGAGAAATAAAGTAGAAACATTAAACTGCTGAATCCAACCAGAAATCAAGTGTTGCACCAATTTTGGATTTAGTCACATGCTGTAGAATGAGTGAATTCCCATCCTTCAGTCTATCAATCTGAAAGTTTTCTTTTAATTGCAGCCAAATACATCTGACTGGCCATTCTGCACAAATAAGCACTGAAGGGATGAAGAATTTGCTAACAATTAGAATTTGAGGGACAGAAATTTGAATCCACAGTGGGTTGTAAATAATAGGCTCTTTCCAAGGCCATCCTGACTCTCAACAGCCATTTCCTTCTGCTCCCTGTCGTCCACTCCTAAATATCTACTTCTATGTCACAGCCATTGTGAAATAATTGTCAAAATGACTTTTATTTCTCAGTCTCATTTGAAACACATCTGCTATGACTTGAGGACCTAGTGAAATATCTTGCTTTTCATAGAATGTAGGCTCATCTCAAGGCTAGAAAATTGAAATGTCTTAGTTGGAAATGACCCAGAAGAAACTAGTTTGAAAATTTTGTGAAAATTCCTTTTCCCTGTCCAACAATTTGGATATATCAATTTTGGAAGATTCTGCTCAGAAAGTTATAGAGGAACATTTCTTGGGGATGGGAGAAAAATCTAGCCTGAGCTACATCTGTTTAAAGGCCATTTCCTTTCTAAGTAGCTAATTTGTACAGGTATCTCACTATGAACCCTTCAGGGTAAAAATTCCATCTGCAGGAAAGGAATAGGATAAGTGTAGCAGTTAATATGAAATGTGAACTCCCCTCTAAGTTTTTTTTTCTTTTAAATAATAATAACAAAATAAAATACTTTAGAAAATATGAGCCTTTATATTTAAAAAATTTTTACATAAAATCTTCCTATTTTGAAAGCATATGTTTTCTGATCTGGTGAAAAAGTGTAATTTTATCAATAGACTTTAAATTTTCATCACATTCAATACCACCTGCATTTCAAACGTTTTTGTACAACCGAAAGGACAAAATGTTGTACCAGAAAGTACAAACAAATTGGACATTGAAATGTAATTAACACTAAATCATCACTCATTACCTGTGATAATATGCCATGATATTTGCGGCTGCTGTAATGAATCAAAAGGCCTTGGGGCTTGATTTTTATTAAATTTACATTGAGTTTGTTATATCCGTGTTAGGAAATGGTTGGTACTCAGCACCACATTTTCAGAGCCCTGCCAAGTTAGGTATGAGGGATCTTACTCCACACGAAAGCCACAAGAACTTCCTCCCATTAATTCTCTAAATGGTTGGAGGAAAAGGAGGTTAAAACTCCCAATTAAAGAGATCTCCTTCCTTGTATGTATTGTGCTGTAGCAGCAAAAGAAACACTTAGCCCCTTGGTGATTAGCAAGAGACTGGTACAAACACCTCAGCCATCTCCCCCAGCCAGCACTTTGGTCTTTTTATGGAGTTCTCAAATTTCTGAGTTTCTCCTGCTAAGACATTACTTATGCTTCAAGGGTATTTCACGCAGTCACATCATTATTGTAATATGGCCAATTGCCTTAGCCAAACTATAGTAAACATTCAGACACAGATAAATTAAATCCCTAACGGTGAGCAGGAACCTTTATGGTCATGGATATAATGAGGGCAAGATGCTGGGGGCATCCACGCTGTGTGTAAGAAATAAGGGGTACAGTGTATGCAGAGAATTGGAAAAAAGGCAACACAGAGTAGATCTGTTTGTTATTATGACCATGTACCAGTAATTCTAAACAATGTCAGTAATAAAACATTCCTCCATCACAAAAACCTTTGTTGGTCTAATTCTAACAAATGCTGATGTTGGTATTAATTTTAATAATGTATTTATAAGCTACAAATAGTACATTTTATTGCTTGTCACTTAATATATATTCTATTGAAGAGGGAAAGTTAATACAGAGAACTCCATATACACCAGAATATGCAGCTCATATGTTTGTTTTAAAGAGTAAAAACTCAAGTCTGATTTTTCATTGTTACAATTTACTGTGCTATGATTGTTTAATCTACTGTTGAAATGGATGGATATATAGTACCACAGGGGCTGTGGACACAAATTGCTCCCAAAGAGAGCTCAAGTGCTTCTACACCCTTAGGAAGTCCATGAAGTTTTAGCTAAAAGAATAATAATTTATGATGAATTTTCCACTGAAAATATTTGGTTTTGTTTGTTTTTTATTGCAGGGACATTTGAAAGTAGCCAGATTAATACTGAAAAATATTCATGGAAAGTGTTGCAATTTCTATAATTTATTGTAAAATGGAATTTCTATGAATCTCTACCAAAATCATCATGTTTAAAATTTTTCCTAAAATTTATATACCTGGTGCATAAAGTGAAAAGTTATTTTAAATTTAAAATTAACAAACTGATTTAAACTTAATAATAATATCCTAATAAGAACACATTGACAAACCTGATTATACTCTCTTTGAACATGAACATGAGAGGAAAGTCAATTTTGATAAAATCATTCACAAATTGCAGAAGTGAAGACTAAGGAACAGAAATTAAAATGCTGTAACTGCTACTTGAACAAATCAATATGTAGGTAATGTTTCTCCCTCTGTAAAAAAATCAGTTAATGTAATTAAAAAGTATTTTATTATACTGTCTTTGTTTTCCTGTACTAACATTTTTTTATTGGCATGATTACATATAAAAGTTCAATAATAGAATGTTTCACCACGTGTATTTCTATTATTTTTCATTTAACTTGATGATTATTCCTTAGTATAACTTGCATAGATAGATAGGATATTAAAAATGATTCACGTCCTGGCATCAAATTCATTAGAGGCAACACTGTTCCGGTGAAGTTGGGGACAAACAATGGGGATTCTGACTGGGTAGTTACATGGCCCTGGTAGTGAGAAATAAGTCAGGAAATGACTTTCAAAGCAAATTCCATAAAGAAGTCGACCCAAAATATGAATTGAATGCATCACAGAATAGAATCCATGGGAACAGCAATGGAAAAGTTCTGTGATGTGGATGCTCAAAGTCACAGATAGAAAATACCGACGGCTCAGATAAAGGAGGCTGAATAAGTGTCTACAGGAATTTGGCAATACACTTGTTTGAAATCAGAATGGCTAACTACATACTGATGGGAAATAACAACACAGAAAGCATTAGCAGAGCCAGAAATTACCATTCTAATTCCACAGATTCCAGGGAGATTCATTTGCCAGCTCAAATAGGCATTAGTTGTTGATGGCAGAGAGAAGTTATATGCACTGTTGGCCAGTTACATAAAATTCATAAATGAGGGCACTTACAGCTTATTTCAAGTCGGATGAAGTCTTTAATGCCGAGGTTTTCTAGGAAAACTCCAGATAAAGCTGTGGTTTTAAAAAAGAAGGAAATATCAACACTCATTTCCGCATGGAAGGTAGGGAAGTGGAGGTAAGAGGCTTCTGTAGAAAATGATACTGCTTTCCAGAAGTGTCTTGCGAATGAAAACGTCATTCAGCACGGTTCACTGTGGCACAATGGGGCGCAGCAAGACACTGGGCATGCAGGTAGATTTCAAGACTAGAGGACTCTGCAGGGAAAAAAGGGATGGGGTGATAAAAACCGCTTGTGCTTATGCAGTGCAGACAGAAAGCTTCTTTCACTTTAGTACTCACGGTCACCATAGCAACGCAAGGGACCGATTCTCCAAGCAGCTTCTGAGTTTGATCTGTTGGTACCCATGATAACTATCTGAGTGACGGGCAAGTGGTCTCTGAAGGAAAGCAAGCCAGTATCATTTGTCCTGCAAAACATAAAGTTCAGAAAAAAGAGAACAGGTGAATAATGTAAGGATTCCTTACCAAGACTCATCTTTTCAAAAGCGATTGAGGTGTATTGCATCAGATAGGCAGTGACAGAGGGCCTCTCATCTCAGGAGTGTGTGTGGAAGGCTGGGATGCCTATTAGAAGACCCACAGCCGGCTTCCAAAGTCACGGAGATTCTGCAGCATTCCCAAGTCTGTCCGAAGATGTGGACATTCAGAGCTTGGGCTTCCTGGGGAAGCTAGGAGCGACCCCCCACCCGGCCTGGGCAGGGCTGGCGGCCAGTATCCAACGCCTGCCTTTCCACAGAGACCAGCGATCTCTATAACTGCCTTGAAAGTGGCTTCATGAAATCCCACTCGAAATCCCTCCAAGGGCTTGTTTCGGGCCCCTGCCAACAGGCTTTCATCAGCCTAGGGTGTTTCTTATCACCTTTTAACTCTAGGAAAGAGCAAATCTTTAGAGTTAAGGGTTGGTAGTCTCTCCTTTTGTTCTGTTCTAGAGATCTTGGCAGTTAAGAACTCAAGCTCTGTTTGTGTTAGTCATGCAAATAAGGAACTGGTGAGTCATCCTTTGGCAAGAAAGTTAAAAATGAACAAGGTCAAGCTATTGCTCTTTCCCTCTAACTTGTGTTTTGGGGGTCATGGTACACTGTTTAATTGAGGAACAGAAGATAGGTAAGAAACTGGGGTTGAAGGAATAACTATTTTGAGACAGAAATACACTGACGATAAGTATATATTTTTTCCCACACAACACCCCTATGCAGTGGGTGCCTTTACTTCCATTCAAAAATGAGGAACCCAAGGCTCAGAGATTCCAGGTAACACCTAGTCACATACTCGGTATCTCTTCTATGCCTGAATTAACACGAGTTCCGGGAACACATGTTCATCTGAGCTTAGCTGAACTAGATGAGGTGGTCTGAGAACCACATGCATGTCCTCCAGCCCCCAGAGCCTCAGTGAGGCACAGGACAGGGTACCCTGACTGTACAGGGGACCTGGGAGACCACCTCCATGCCCCCTGCACAGGGCACAGTGCACGAGGTAATGATTTTATGACAAGAGCAAAAAAGAGCAGATTGTTATTGACTCTCTACAGTCACCAAGATGTCAATAAAATGCTCAAAAACACTCAAAATCGACACTATATTTCATTATCATTTACAGATTGTTTACAAACCTGCATTTAGAGGTAAGGAAAATACTATCCCAAATTATTAATGGCAAGAACCACGTAGTGTGATGAAGTGTTTTAAGGACAATTATAGAAGCACAGAAATTTTTCTGGATTGTTGGTCCCCAGCTCCTGGCTTGGGCAAATTACTTTATTTCTGAGATTCCCCAGTGTCCCCTGTTTGAGAGTGGGGATATTGTCTATAGGACAGAGTTAGAGAGAGGATTAAATTAGAGGACACAGCCACCTAGCCTGGCGTCTGAACTGCGGTAACTGTTTGGAGATGGTAGCGGGAACGTTCCTCTTAGTTCTCATCTGTGCCCCGGACCCACTGTGCAGGGTCAGGCAAGTTGTCCCATTTTTCCAGGTGCCCAGCTATGGCTCTGTATTACAGATCACATACTACAAGGAGCATGGTGGGAATTTAAATGTTAAGATTTGGCATCCAGCTCATGAGATTTGGGGAAAAAAACTTAGCAATCATCTTGGTTATAAATAGATCAAATATTCACCTGCACATATACCCCTATAGGTCTATTAACCAAAAATGTAAATAAATGTACTATCATCTATAATTTGAGTGCTTGAATTAAGAGGTCCTTTAAAGTATCTGAAATAAGACTTTTGTTTCTATTTTAAAGTACATCTATGAGTGTCACATAGACACAGAACAAAATTTGAGTCTTCACTTTCCAATATCTTCTCAGAGATTTCAAAGCAAATTCTGAGTTGCCAAAGTAGAATAAAGACCAAACCAATATTCTGTCTTCAAGAAATTCTGTATTGCTATAGGATTTTATTTCTCTCCATTTTTCACTTCCAAGGTGAAACTAGTGGATTCTGAGGTGTGTCCATCAGTGCTGAGTCCTGCTCCCCTTACACACTCTGGCATCTTGTCTATCAGTTTGATGCCCTTGTGTCAAAGTTGGAATATACAAACAGCACTCTAGGAACTAATATCTTTTCCAAATAATGAGAAAAAAGCCTTCATATTTAGTTTGATAATGCAAGGGACATTACCAAAAGTATTTTTTATCTGAAAAAAAGAAAAGAAAAAAATCTGCTCTTCAAAGTTATTTAATACAATAGAAACAGATACAGACTGAAATGCATACAGGAGCCAGGCAACTAAAAAAAATGAGTAAAGCCAGCTCTGTTAGGTGATAAATGGAACCTGACACACAGCTTCAGTGCCGGGGGAAAGAGGGCGACTGAAAGAGGAGACAGGGGAGAGGGGTAGCGAGGAGGTATTCTGCCTGAAGGAGGAAGTGATACCCTTTAGCAATAGATAATTGTGCTGTTTATGAATGTGAGACCAGTAGGCCAGATGGAATATTAATGCAAAATTCTCCACTTTTAAATTTTGGCAATGGATTTGAATTTTTTTTAAAAAGTGCGGTGGGAACCGCACCCCACAAGCCAGCATAATGCAGGTGAAGGCCGTGCAGCCCACAGGTGGCCGAGGCATCAGGGGGACTTTGCATATGCATGTTCGTTCTTAAGGTCACATTAAGAATAAGACTGTATTTAACTCAGTCTGTGAGTGACAGGCACGACTCCGACTCTTCAGGGCACTGATGGCTCAGTCGTTTGGAGGCAGGGTGGTGGCGGTGGGGTTTAGCTGTAAGAAAATGTGCCATGTAACAGAGGCACCTCCTGACAGGCTGGAGTCTTCAGCTGTAGGTTTGACTCCCCACACGTTAACTTGTTCCACTTCCCTTTGTTTGAATGCGCCTCCTCGAGGGCGAACACTTCACAGACTTCGCCTTCCTTGGGGACATGCCCGGGTCTTCCTGAGGGCAGAGGGCACAGGACTGTTTAAAACCACAACTGCCTTTCACAGAGAGGAGTTCTTTCTAAAGGAAATGATCGGCAGGTTAGAGGCAGTGCTCCAGTTTGGAGCTTCTGAGAACTGCCCTTGGCTTTGGGGCTGAGCGAGCCCCGCCCCCACACTCCTGGAGCGGAGCCTGGGGGCGCCCCTTGCCTTCCGCAGCCATGTGAGCATAAAGGCAGTTCTATACACGCTCAGGCAATCCTCAGAACAGCCTAGGCTGGTGTCACAGTCATTGCCTGCCTTGCACAGGAGAGGAAATGAGGTTCAGAGAGGTGACAAAACTTCCCAGGGCGCATCTGCGGCAAGGAGAGCAGCCCCAGACTTGCACCTGTGTCTGAGCGCAAAGCCCTTGCGGGAACCGCGTGCTCCTGTTCTCGGGGCCCCACTCCTGCAGGGAGCTGCTCCCTCTGTGTGCACGCTGCTGTCCCCACATGCAGTCTGCACCTGCCCCAGGTGGTGCTGGGACAGCAGGGCCCGGTCCTTGATCTGCCCTCTGGGGTCCGGGCTGACCATCCCCATTCCTTTCACACGCTCTCTCTACGCAAGATGCAACTCAATCGATTAGGTTTCAGTTTACTAATTTGCAATCATTTTCCACCCTGCCTTCCCTGTGGCTGCATGTGGGTCACCTTGATGGGAGTTCTGGGCACCCACAAACTCTTCCCTTACACATTTACCAACAGTCACTCGGTTCACTTCTATTGTGGGCAGGCCCACCCATTACATCTAGATTTTACTGGGAAGCTGTCAGAGGGGGGCCCCATTTGGGGGAGAGGTGCTGTCATGGTTCTTTTCTTATTTCATCTAGAGTTTGATGGCTGAATGATAGATTGCTCTGGTGTGCTAATTACCTTATTTATTTGGTTATATATACATATATGTATGTGTGTACTTTTCTTAAATTACCTTTTGTAAGGCAATGTTGCCTCTTGCAGTTTATTTAGGATGCTATAAAAATAGAGAAAATGATAATAAAAATGATGACTAGCAAATTCTGGGATCTAAATGCATGACACATCTGCGAGCTGCACAAGTTACTGCTAACTCAGCCCGTACTCCCCAGAGATGGATATCCTTTTTGTAGTAAAATAGAAACTTGAACCCAGAGAGGCTGAATGCTTCATAAGTGACAAGTCCAGGATTTGATCATCCCATTACATAACTAAATATTACTTGGGGGTAAACTGCATTTCACATCCAGAAAATGTGGGTGCTGCCTCAGAAGTAGCCAGAGTTGTGTTTGGTTACACATGCATACGCTATTTTCACTAAAATCCTACAAGATCTACTTGTCAGAGAGACAGAACCATTTCTTCTCCTCCTCTTCCTCCATCTCTTTTGTCTTAATGACCAAGTCTGTACACTTTGAAACACAGCACAGAGACACAGGGGCTTGTGTGTACACTTAGCCAGAGTGCTGACGGCCCTCGGGAGCATGAGGCGCGGTGGGAATGGCCGAGGAGGAGCACCATTCCCAGGGGCTTGTCGGCGCTGTCCTCATCGGGCCGAGGGCCCCGGCAAGTTCGGAGCAAAAGGAGAAGAGGCGTCACTGATGTGTCCCTGGTGGCCGAGTTCTGACTCTAGTGTGCCCTGCATGTCCTTTCAGCAAGGCCCCCCCTCAGGAGGGGACCGTTTCACACCACAGAGTCAGGAAAGCCAGTCCAGAACTGGTTCCGCTGGGAGCTATGTCATGTCCAAGTCCCTTCAGCAATGTGGCCCCTACTATCAAAACAGAAAGATGGATGATTTTACAGTTCTATACTAGGAAGGTATACAATATAAATAACAATTTTCAAAGTTGAATAAAATATAAAGCAAGACTCAAGTGTTCATTGCAATATTTTCTCTAATCGTGAAAATTCATCCACAAGTAGAATGCCATACAGGACTGGCAGAATAAGTTATAACCACACTAGGGAATGCTCTGCAGACACTACAGTGGGCAGGATGGACTCATTTTCATGCTTATTTGATGATGCCAAGTAAAAGCTCTCCAAAACACCATTTACGTGGAAAAGGCAAGTTGCAGAATAATATGTTTAATATGATCTTGCATTTGGTAAAAAGTGAAAAAGGCTCCATATCAGCAAATATGGAATATGCATAGGAAGATATTTGTATGTGGAAACAGCCTACATGCCAACTACTCTCTCTAAGTTAAGGTGTCACATATGGGCTAGAAGGAAGGGAATTCCAAGTACTGGTGAAGGAAGAATTTCTACTTTTTTGTTTAAATACTTCTGAAATATTTGAACTTTTTACAATAAGGATATAATAGAATATACTCATTTTGTAATTAAAAAACCCTAAAATTAAAAAAAATCAGGAAAAGTATTACCCTTATACATCATTCAATATAGACACCAAAATTTAGTTGGCCAGGCTGAAAACTGTAAGCAAACTTCCAGAGTGGACAAAGAGGTCAGAGGTTCATCTACTTTGGATCTGAGCAAACATTACTGCTAGGTGAGTAATGCTGGGCACTTAGAGATAAATGGGGCAGATTAAAACAGAAGCCAAAGGCATGGCATTTTTAAGTGGAATTATATTATCTCAGGGTTCATTAAAAGTCCAAATCAAAACATTGTATAAAATATAGTATCTAAATGCAAACTCTTGATCTTGATATTGACTTTGAGTTGATCTATTTCTGATACTTACAGTTCTGCAAATACCCATGTGATGTGATTCCACAGACAATTTAGAGGTAGTGTATTTGTACAGCTTGACAGCTAACTGATGGGAGGCTCAGTCTAATCTTCAATTGTTTCCTATAAGCACAAGAGGAGTATTTCATAGTCATATTTTGTTTTCTGGAACAAACTGCTTATTGCAGGCATTGTCCCAATCTATGCTAGAATGGTGGCATCACAGAATAACAAACAAAAAACACTCCTTACTGGCACCCCTGGCAAACTGTCAGCTGTTTCACTGCATCTGAAATTCTGTATGATAAAGATGTGAGGTGGTGGACTTGAATTCTCAACCTCTGGCCACAAGTTCTTTTGCCCATTTTTGTATTGTTCCTTCTTTTCTTGAGCGGTGATGCTTTCTGTTCTCTCCAGCCAGATGTACCTCAAAACATTCTACCTGAAAACAATGTGGAACCCAGCTATGGGGTCGTTAGTGTACAAGTCAGGAGCAAGTTGCCCCAGGCTATACACTTTAAGTGAAGAGTCTGTGAAGAAAAGAGCAGACTACAGCTGGCGAGTGTTGGGCATATATGGCCATGGCCGGGCAGAGAGCATGGGCAGGCAGGAATGTCCCCTCTGCTCATGCTGCCATTCAGTCACTCAGCAGATAATGCCCGAGGACCCACCATGTGCCAAGCATCCTTCTCTCTGACACGAGGTGCTCATTCTGCTTGTACTGCTGGTGCCTGTGGGGATTCGGGGGCTGGAGGAGTCAAAGCCCAGTAAATCCTTCATAACTTCTGACTTGGAGCAAAGGCACTTCCAGAACTCAGTAAGCATGAAATAGCTCATCAACAGATTCATGAATAATAGAGTTAAACCAGTGCAGGCTGCTCTGTATTATTTGCGATAAGAGATAGAGCCCTGGTGCCCTGAAGTGGTCCTTGCCTTTCTCTTGGGATCCCAGACCCCAGCCCCATCCTGAGACACTACCAAGAAGAGGCATCCTCTCTGCACCACGTCTGGGAATCTCAGAAGGAGAGGCTTTGAGGGAAGGAGACCTGCAAGATCAAAGAACAGCCTATGTTTAGAAAGAGCAAAGCCCTAAACCCTTGGGTGTATCCACCATCCTCCTCCTAAAGGCAACTGCCTCAAATCTCACAGAAAGAGGTGGAGGGCCTTGTGTAGGCCAAGGGCCTGGAACTAGACATGTATTTACCAAAGAGAAAAGGTAACCCTTGGAGTGGAGTCAGCATTTCTCACTCCTCACAGATGGCTGGGAGCAATCAATCTACAACAGAAGTCCAGCTTAAATTTAGGGTAAACATTTTGTATGAGATCATAAAAGATGGGTAACAGCTAACAACCAAGTGCACACAGCTAATCCTAGAATGATCAAGACCTGACCCACCAAAAGATGGAGAGGTAAAAATATGTGCAACAGAAGTAGTTCGCCCATTGTTCATTCATGGATTCAGTGCTATTAAATAGTTTCTCTGTGGCACAGAAGTCCAATCAAGAGCTAAAGAGTGGTTTGAAGCTCCAGGATTCCATATAATAATAAAAAGAAATCCTCTAAAAATATACTACTCCTTAAGAAAAAGAATGATAGGTTTCCTTTTTGGTTGATCAAATGACCAGAATTGAAACCTATTCCAGTTTCTCATCCTATTTTGTGCCGTATCTCTTTACACAAGAGAGTCTTAATGGTGGGTGGCAAAGAACAGAGTTACTAAAAATCAAGTACAAATGTCTACATTCCTTATGAATAAATAAAAGTTCTACTGTTAAGTAAGAGAACTTTACTTTATTTTCTACCCAGTTACATGGATAAGAAAACTCCTTCAGATGGGTCACCACCAAGATGCACCTTTTGGACCACCCCCCTGCCTCCTCCAAACTGCCGCCTCCACCGTCCCTGCATCCCACTTGCATCCCTATGTCTGGATGGCTGGCACTGGCCACACAGCCCCGCACTGCCCTGTGCTGTCTCCAGGCTGGAGCTGCCACCAGCTTTCTATCTGACTCTCAGGAGTCTGTGGGTCTGGGGCAGGATGGTGGAAACAGCCAGCTGAGGGGCTCCCTTAGGTTGAATCATTCCTTCAAGACAAGTTCCTTTGCCAACAATCGCTAACTGCAGAACTGTTATTCATTACAAGTTTCTCATTTCTTTTTCTTTTTCTTCCTGTTTATTTCTTTGGCTGGGATGGAAACCCCAGGAGAAGTCAGTCTGCAGCACACCTGGGCCGCATGTCGGGCTGAGGCTTCCCTGCACCCTCGGAAGGGTCTTTGGTGCGCACAACCTACTTCTTTAATCCCTCCACCCACCTCCACCCGCTGAGCCGCGGGACTCTGACCACACCTGCGGCTCCTTTTCCTCAGTCTCTTGGGTCCCCCTGATGTATGGTAGCAATGCCCTCAGGTGCAGGTTCGCCAGAACAGAATAAACTCTTACCAGTGACCAGGAGGCGGAAGCCGGCCGAGCCTCTCTAGCAGCCTGACGTGGCACCAGGAGGTGCGTGCGGCTGGGGTGTGGGTCGGGAGCCCCTGAGAGCAGGGATTCGGTCGCCTCCCAGGGTGCCCTGATCGCACCCCCGCCCGAGCAGCCCCTCCGATGCCCCCAGCGAGAGCCACCTTGCCCTCTGCTAGGATCTGCATCTGCCACTGAAGTCGTGTGACTTCAAGCCACTTACTATCTAAGAGCCTCAGTTTCCTCTTCTTGGGAAAGGAAATAAGACCAACCTCGAGGATTGTTGGTTTGAAGACATGAGATACAGTATAAGAAAGACTAAGAACACTTCAGTAAATGGCAGGGAATGTTTAAGTGACAATATGATCTAGGAGGTATAATATATATATAATATACATATATTATTAAATGTATTTAATTATATATTAAACTGCTGTCTGCTACATGCTATGCTGGCCCAAACCCATTTTATGATTGACTTTACCAAGAGCAGAAACTTGAGGGAATTTTACAAGGTAAATGCATATTTGCGGTTTCTTAGGAGTCCAGAACACCAGTGTTAATTGCCTGAAACGCTGGGAATATGTGGGAAGCCAGCTTGACCGCACGTGAGCCGAGAACACGGGTGGAAGAACACTGAGAAGCGTGAGCAACTATATTCTACCTGCGGCAGCTTTTGAACTTCTCCCTTCAGCTGAAAATCACAGAGTTGAACAGATACACCGAATGCATTTCCACAAGGCTCTGCCAGTCTCACGTCTGAGACTATGTTCTGTGTCCCCAATACTCGCCACAGACAGAGCTGACCGGTCCTTTCATGTCCGAGGAGCCTCATGGTCCTGTTCTGACTGTACCCCAGTCCCTGCCTCATCCCTGCAGTTCCCCACATGAACACTGCAAGAACCACACCAACATACTTGTGTTTAGGGGAAGGAGTGGTTTCTGTGATATGCCACCTGTCCCTGTCCCAGCACGTGGTGGCCCCCCTACCTGCACTGCTCAGCCGCTAGCTACATCTTCTGGTCCTTCCAAGTCGACCTACCACTTTCCGTGAAATCTAACTACACCAGCTCATATCCACCCCAGGTCTGGGCACATCTGTGCTTATTTCAATTGCCAGATTAATCACGCCGATAAGCTTCCTGTCCACTCTGTGTGTTCCTCAAGGGCAGGATTTGTGCCCTAGGCTCTGTGCAGCAGACACCCTGACTGGCACAGAGCGGGCCCTCACAGGCACAGGATCAATGAGTGAAGGCTGGAGGACTAGCACCTACAGTGGCTTCTGTGACACTTTTCCCAGAGTCATTCATGACCGTCTATGTCACATCCTGAGACAATGCTGAAATCCATAAGAATTAAACCAGAATCTCAGCCCCTGTTCCCTCATGAGCATGGCAGAAGGAACAGCCCGATCGCACCTGCATTTTGCCCTGGGTGAGGTCGGTATCCTTACAAAGGGAGGCTCAGATTGTTTATTTTGAACCTTGGTAGGTTGGTTGAACAAAACTTTGTATCTAAAACTAAAGGCAGGTGCCGCACAGGTGCCCTAACGGAGGCGGCCTGCCCAGGGAGCAGCAGCTCACGGGCTTTTCCTGGCTCCAGAGGAACAGGGCTGTGAGGCGCGGAGTCCCTGTGCTGACGGAGGGGTGACGACACTGGCCGAGGGAAAGGGCAGTTTGGGGAGCTCCTGAGCGCAGCCCAGCTGATGAAGCCACGTCAGCATATGGGGGTTCAAAGGTCAGTGAGCCAGTGGGCATGTCAGAGGAAGGAGACGCCGGAATCGGAGAGGAGGAGAAGACGGGGTGGGGGGAGGTCCTGGAGGGGAGCGTGTAGAAGTTCGGACACGATGGTCTGATTCTCCACCTCTAACAGGTGCAGTGCCCCCCACCACACCCCCTCGTGTGCGGCTGAAGTCCCGGCCCTGGCCCCTTGTTCCCTGGGAAGGGGAGACACTGAGGCCGTGGTTAGTATGGGAGGGAGAATGAAAACAGTGAGCAAGCATCAATAATTCATTCAGTCAGAAAGGGAACGAGCATGGCAGGTAATCGGGAGAAACCTCCCCTGTCCACTCAGGCTGTATATTCTCCTTGCCACCTCAGTTCCTCTGCTCACACACAACTACATTAAGGTGTTTCTATACAAGCCTATAAATCCATGAAGGTTAATGCTATGGATAGTGAAGAGCAATTAAAGAATTTAAAATAAGGGAAAAGAAAGAGTGACTCTCAGCCACTGGTTACAGAGGATTCTGAATGTTTTCCAGGGCACAAAACCATTTACGTTGCACACACATCTCCCAGATTGTGAAGCTGCTGTGCGTGATCACCCCTTCTCCTCAAAGTTCTAAATTCATCCATGCAGCTAAGTAAGACTGAGCCCCTACTTCACAAGGAGTAGGTCTTGAGGGATACAGTGTTCTGAGGAAGATACAGGCTCCATGTGAAGCACGAGTTCTATGTGATGTCCAGGTATCCGTGATGCTCAGACCGAGGTCCCTCCGCCACCAGTCCCCTTTGCCTGCTCTCACCACTGTGAGTTTTGGGGGTGAGGCACCCTCCTTCGTGGTAACTGGCCCTGTGCATTCTGATAGAACCTGATGGAGCCAGATGGTTCCCCGCTGACCTGAGCTTTTAACTCAACCTTAAATTTCATTTGGGAGAGTATCTGCTGTTATCAATCCAAACAGTGAAGGAAAATTACTTAAAATAAATTTCAACTGGGTTGAGTGCAGTAGGAGATAGGAATTCTTAATCACAACGGAGCAGAATTTGATGATGCGGGAATGATTACAAAGCCAACCCAAGAATGCCTTCAGCTTAGTTAAAACAGAAGTGGAGGCAGAAATGTTCTGTGCATATTTTCATAATCAATACAGTGAGATGGAAGTAGGTCAGCTGAGGACAGGGGAAAAGTAGACGTTAGGGGCACAGGACCTACAGACACAACTGTATCTTACACAAGTAACTTGGTGTGGTGGAGTAAGACGGGCTCCCGTCCACCTATCCAGCTATACTGAAGCTCAAATGCTGGACTGGCTGCTTAATAGATGTGTGGCACCTTGGGAAAATTATTTAACATCTCTGTGATACACATTCCTCAAACTTAAGATGCAAAAATGCAAAAACTTTAAGGAATTATCGCTTGTCATGAGGATTAAATACATCCTCGGTAAATACAAATTTCCTTTTCTGTATTTTTGTTGGAAGTAATAGGGGAGCTGGTGACGAAGCCTTCTTGAGAAACGGGAGAATGAAGACAGTCTGTGTAAATGCATGTCCCTACCTCCCCCCTCTCTCCCAAAACCTGTATCCCACACATTTCAGAAATGCTTTCTAAATTGCAAAGCTCCATATTATATTTCAGTCTTTTTTAACAGAATGCTGAGAATATAGGGACTTGATGATGTGGCATGTGCTGCGACAAACCTCAGTAATGGCCTTAAAGCACTGGAACTGGCAATTTTCAGTTACAAACAATCAGTCATTAGGGAGCCCTTGTTCACATTGAATTTCCCCCTGCCTTTTCCCTGGAGGGAAAAGTATGCACCCATTAATGTGTGTCCTGCATGCCTGCAGGAAGATCCTGACCCCCATTACCATCCATCCTTGTCAGAGCCACAGCTGCACAAGTGTCCCACGTCCAGGCAACTCTGGTCCAGGCCGCATCCACACTGCTGAGCTCCAGCGGGGGCACCTGTCCAGGAAGGGTGCCTCTCACCAGACTGCCCGACCCACCAGCTGAACGGCACTCCGTCTGCAATACAGGGTGTTGCACAGGTCAGAGCGGGGCACACTGGGAACAGCAGAGGGTGCGCAGAAGCCGAGAAGCAAAGGCTGTGAATAATGCTCAGATAGATATGGATATAGATTAGATATAGATGGATATAGATCACAGATGTGCATATACATATATAGATAGATACGTAGATGTGCACATACATATAGCTATAGATATACATATGGATATAGATTAGCAAGAGATATACATGTAGATATAGATTATATAGACTACAGATGTGCATATACATAGATATACATATAGGTGT